CCCTTGGGACACTAAGAGTCCCCTCTGTGTAGTGAGACCCGATAGACCCTGTACTAAATACATAAAAATGAAAACAGGTGTGTATTATATATACACTAAAAAGCTAGGAGAAGGAATATTGAATGTTTTTTAAAACCTTAAAGTAATATGATAAGTGTCTGAGGACATAGAAACGCTTGACCTAATTTAAATATTACAAAAAATATATGTGTTGAAACATCACGTGGTACTCCACTAATGGATACAAATTTTAAGTGTTTGTGCTCTTGTTCAAAATAAGTTTTAAAATGAGGAGAGATGGCTCAGTAGAATAGGAGCTTGCTTGGCAAGGGCAAGGGCCTGAGTTCAACCCCCGGTTCTGCCAAAAAATTAAAAAGAAAAAGAAAAGAAAAGAAAATGAAGTAAGCGGTAAAGTGCACTGGTAGTCCTTAAAAGGCATTTTACATTGTCATCTGATTTCCATGTTTGTCAAGGAGGGCTTGAGACACTCTTGTAGAGAAATAATTTAGAAGTGGACAACAGCACCTAAAGGCAATACCACTTCTTTGAATAGGACAGCAGCATTTCAGCTTGAGCTATGTCCAGTGCTGCCTACTCAAGATTCCAGTGTTCTCCAACAACTCTATCACTGCTCAGCTTTGGGAAATACAACTCTAACACGTTTAGCAAGGACAGTCCATGAAGCTAGGGAGAAGAAGCTTCTTAAACCCCACTTATCAATCCAGATGCTGGGGGCGGAAGAGGAATCTTAGTCAAAAATAACAGGATCCAGAAACATCTGGTCCCGTAATCTTTGCTTACCATTACTGAACCTCAGCAAAAGCTTTATCCTGTCATTTGTAGGTGGCCTGGCATTTGTTAACAGTGTTCCAGATGTTTTCTCTGAAGTCAGGACAGCCACAGGAAATTTGTTTAATATTATTATTTTTAATAATGAATAGATATGTAATACCTCTGACCTTCATTTCCTTTCATAGCTATCTCAGATATTGTTTTATTCTATATAAGCTTATTAAAATAACGTGTCTTTCATATTCTAAGATTATTCACCAGAGAGAAGAAAATATGTTTTTTTTCCATAGAGCTACAACAGTCATAATCTTTTTTCCAAAATGAGGGAATTAATAGAATACTTGCACAAATGGTCAAAGAAAATAAAATTTCATTTTCTCCCCTGAAAGCATGTTAAAATTACAGATCTGTAATTCTATTTGACCTTTGCCAAAAGGCCTAAAATCAATACAGTTGCATAATCCCCATACATACATGTACATGCCTAGTTTTATATAAGAAAGCAGGAAAAAATTTTTTAAGAAAATATTTGTATGAATTCAAAATCAAATAATCATGTGAGTTGTTCCCTACTAGTGATCAAAGCAAATTATCAGTGAATTATCCGCAAATACTGCTGAGTTCCACGTAAAATTGTCATAGCTGCAGGCTCTACATATTTCCGTGCTTTTCTTTCTAAATATGCACTCTGCCACTGTTATCACCTGGATGTTCAGGAATAGGCTTTCTTTAGGCCTCAGGGTTGTTTATTTTAACTCGCAAACCACCAGCAAATTATCAACCTCCACTCAAGGCAAGAAACAGGGATGCTTTTGTTAATGTAAACTCCTGGGGTAAACAAAAACTAGAGCATTTTTAAACAGTTTTCAGCTCATAGCAAGGAAAAACAAAAGTGAGATTCTTTCTCAAAAGATTTTTCTCTCTTGCTGTCACCCAAGGGAGGGCTGTTTTGGAAATGCTGACGCAATCATAGCAGAGGAATCCAGACCAAAACATATACTAAGTTTATTTATCTTAGAGACCGCAGGAATATTGCAAAACACCAGAGTTGGCCCAGTAAAACGTGTTACTAACATGTACGGTTTGATTGCTTAGCTTGGATTAAGCCAAGTCATTTCTGTGTGATAACCTAGATCGTCAAGCTCTCTTCTGGCAGCACTTACAGCCCACCCCCTCACCCAAACTCCCAAGTCCTATGTCGAAGGTTCTCTTGAGAACTCCATCTGGAAGTGGGATATATATCACAAGACGAGCAGATCCAAAACCAGTCTTTCAGTGTCCACATTTTCCATATTATCTTCCTCAGTCTTTTCCAGCTTAATAAATGGTGGTTCACATTATCCTTTTTGTTGATTTAGACCCACATTTTTTGGTGGTGTCTCTTTGTCCTTTATTTCTTTTCCATGCCCCTTATGAAAGCTCAACCATCATGTTCTTTCTACATTTGAGACAAATCCGTACATTAATAACTTCTCAACATCCCTGCCCTGACTCCCAGTCAAAATCACCACCATCTCTCACTTCCATAATTCAATAGCAGCCTAGATATCCTTGACTGGGCCCTGCCATCCTTCTGCAGTTGATGTAGCCACAGCATTTTCATTCCTCTAACATTTCTTCAGTACCCTTCATCTTGCTCCCGGAGAAGCTATGCCTTCCAGCTGCCTATGAAGCATTATCAAATTTGCTCCCCACTACTTCTTAGAATTCACGTAAGTTGTGTCACCTTGCTTATTTTAATGTCCTGATATTGTTCCCTGTTTGCTGTTTGTGCAACTTTTCTTTACTTGTGCCTTTCCATCCCTATTCCTTGGCTCAAATAGCCTCTTCCAACATAAAAATCCTTCTTCAACTATTGTACATAAAACATCCAGTTCCACTGGGTCTCATTCCATATCCTTCAGTCCTGTATTATTTTTCTCTCTCCCTCAGGTGACTTGCCCTGCAATGTGTCCTGCTTCTTGACTGTGTACTCCATAAGAACAAGACAACCTTTGTTACTATGGTTCAGCCACTCGTATAGTCAGACATATAGGAGATCATCAATATCATTAATAAGTATTTGTTGAATGAAGTCATATATGCTCTTAGACTCATCAAATCAGAAGTTGGTTGAATTGTTTGAATATTTTGTGTATTTCTAAATTGATTTGTGTTCTATGCTTATGGGTGAAAGTATCAAGTAGGCCCTCAGAGTTCATCAGAATAAGTGTCCTGAGGAGAAAAATCTGATCTGAAAGCCTAACACATTTCTGGGTGTTACATCCTCAAAAGGAACCTCACCCAGTCCCATTCTTGTATCTTGTATGGAAAACATATGGATTTTCCTTTTCTTCAAGATTGCTGAACTTCATGGAAGGTTATTTTATTATTTTACTTCAAATAGTGTTCATAAGTGATTTTAGTAAGTTTAATATTTTCCTTTTCTTTATCACTCTAAACATCAACTCAGCAACCTGCAAATTCCTTCACTGGGGATATGAGAGTCTGAAGGACATGAGGTCTCGTAAAGAGCCTGTGTATGGGTAGGGGGTGGCTTGGATCAGGCCTGGCTGGAGCATTGGGTGGTGAGAAGCGGTGGAATATAATGTTCTTAGCTAACTGAGGGATTAGCTGTTGCTTCATTTGCATGAAGATGAAATGATGATAACCTTTATCTATCTACACCCGTGCCAAAACCTTGGAATGTGGGCTGGTGAGATAGCTCTGCAGTCTGAAGTGCCTACTTAGGCAAGCATAGGCAGGCACAGGAGGCCATGATTCAATCCCAGTATGCCAGCCCCTCCCTCAGGGTGGGCTAAGCAGGCCAAAAAAAAAAAACTTGGAATGTAAGAGTTTATTGGCCCAGTGTTATGGAAAAGAAAAAAAGAGAAATTAAAAATGGATAATGTGAATGATTCATGAAATGAATGGAGTAGAGGTAAAGCAGAGACCCATTTTATATTTGATTTATGTGATAGAATGAGGCAATCATGTTCAATACCAGATTATTGGCATCTTTTAGGTAACTCACATATAACCCAACAAAAATTGTAATGGCTTTGAAAAAAATGTTTACAAACAAAAAAGAACAATGGGTGTTAATGATTCATTTGAAAATTTGATTTTAATTTCCCTGAAAAGATGTTCAACATGTAATCCCTAGTACCTGAGCATGTAACTTCATTAGAAAATTGGTTTTTGAAGATATAATCAAGTTAGAGAGACTGCTTTTTAAATAAAAGTACATCTGAACCCAATATAGCTACTGTCCATTGAGGAGAGAACAGTCACAGATGCATGAGAGAAAAAAGTCACGGGTAGATAGAGACAGAGATTTGAAAGCCCCAAGAAAATCCAGCGGTACACGTCACAAGGAGCAAGGACGTGCCCTCCCCTAGCAGTCTGAGGCAGAGCACGGCTGTCTGTTCATCAGGTTCCAATCACTATTGGAGCAGTACCTGAGATAATCAATTTCTTAAAAAATTATTTTTGCTCACTGTTAGGCAAATTGTCATGTTGAGATTTATTTTTCTAGGAATTGCAATGATAAAACATGCACCTTGGTATTAAAAAAAAGACAATTTTCTAAAGGTTTGCTTCTAAGAATCAAGTATTACTCAAAATTCCAAATCAGCTCATCCCTCAGGCTTATTTGTGTGCTTTCATAGCCGTGTCCAAAGCCTGATACAAATTTTTAAAATTCATAAACCAATCAGTGTTTCTAGTACAGTTAGTAACTGCAGAAATGCTGAGACAAATAGCCTACCTATACTAATAATAATTATAAATTGTGTTTAACAAATTAGTAACTAATCAGAAATAGTATGCTTTGTACTTTATACCCTAACTTTTGGTTTAGGAAATCATATTCAAATATCAAAAACAAGTGCAGAAGAAATATTAATCACCTGAAGATATGTGTTATTGCCAACTTTTTTCAGAAAGTTGAATTTAAGGGGCCAGGGAGATAGCTCAGTGGTCTAAGCACCTGAAGGCAATCCCAAGGACCTGGGTTCTATCCCGGGTACCACATGTGGCTCCTGCTACTGAAACCAGGTGTGGTGGCACACACCTGCAATCTCAGCACTGGGGAAGGAGGATCACTATAAATTGAGTCTCAGTTGCGTTGTGAGACCTTGTACTGATTAAATAAATAAATAAAATATAAAAAACTGAAAAAGAAAGTTGAATTTAAGGAGTATTGACAATTAAGGTTTTATACAGTATCAATTTTGAATGCATTTTAAATTTATTTTTTGAAAACAAAGACATTAGCACAAAATTTTACATGGCTTGTATTGAATTCACATATTCAAATAAGGCTTTACCAATAATAGTGAAGATTAATACAGAGCTAGCATTTGACATTTACTTTTATGTCATGACAACTAATTGCCCTATGAATTACAGAAGAACAATACTGTTTTTATTTTGTTCTTTCTAAAAAATTAAAAGAAAAAAGCTTTAGTAAATTTTGACATGTATATAATTCCTATGAATTTTACATTTGGTGAACTAAAGATGCCTAGAGTCACTCAATTAACATTAACAGAAACTTTAGAAAAATGATTCTGAACATGGCAGGTAATTTTTTTTTTTTATTGCAGGCAATTACTTGAATTTAATATTTGGCTTTATGTATAATAAGTCATGTGGGAAAACCATCCACAATAGAGTTGAATTTCCAATATCTAGCATTCGTTCTCACTCTTTTATTTTATTTTATTGTTTTTCTTTTAGCAATGACATTAACAGGATTTGGCCGGGCTATAAAGATGATGGTTTTCTTGGAGCTACTTGTAGTTTCCGAGTTGGATGGCAGAGCGCACGTAGACGCACCGGAAGGTGGAGGGCTGGATCTCCCAGTACTGGACGGGGTTGCTGAAGAGACTCACACCTGAATAAGAAGCCTTTTTGGTGTTGTATCCTGGTGGGCAAAAATCATTTGATCCAACTACAGAAATGTTGTTGTTATGAAGGTAGACAACCTGCGTGGGAAACAATGCAAATGATTATTTTCCCCTAAATGTGCTGATACCTTTCACATAAATATTCTTTTTAGTCTTTGAGTTCTTTACTGGGAATACTTTAACATTTCCCAAATCAAATTTTGATTTCTTTTTTTTTTTTTTCAAAAGTTTCTTTTCTCTCCTTTAATTATCACCTCTTTAGGGAACTGCCTCTCAATCATTCTATTTCTTAGATTACAGACCTTGCCTGAGTGCTGTGTCTTCTCTTGCACTCTCTACAGCATCATCAAATCCTATGATCTCTGCCTTCAAAATGTGTGCATAACCCACTGGGGATCCTGACTGCTATTTCAGTAACATTATCTGAACTGGTGCTCTTGATTTCCTCTATTATTAAAGGAGCCTTGATTGAGCTGTTACAAGTTGCTCTGCTATGCACGTATATCACTATTATGATGTTTTTAATTGTTCTGGGAAGATACCCAGAAGGATATTGTCTGGATCAAATGGGATCTCTAACTCTAGTTTTTCTTTTTTTTGAGGAATCTCCACACAGATTTCCACAGTGGTTGCACCAGTCTGAACGCCCACCAACAGTGGAGAATGGTTCCTTTTCCCCCACATCCCCTCCAGCATTTGTTATAGGTTGATTTTTGATGATAGCCACTCTTTCTGGCATAAGATGGAATCTCAGTGTTATTTTAATTTGCATTTCTTGAATGACCAATGACATAGAACATTTAGTTAAGATAGTTATATGGCTAATTTCTCTTAGTTCATTAAAAAGAAAGGTTTGTGCTAATACTGTGTGGGCAAGACATGTACTGTGGACAACTACTATGAAGATAACAATAAACAATATATTATTGTAACTCTCCTACTAACCTGCTTTGAAACTCAGTTTTACTGTTATCTTTTTTCTCTTTAAAATAAAAAAAAATTAGACCTGACTGTTTTCCCTGATTCCACCTTTGTCTTTCTAAATTGTGTTGCTTTAATTTACCTCTCAGAGCACATCTTTCAAAAAGTAAGCCAACCTATATCTTCCGTGACCTCATGTTCTTTTTCCTTCCTTGTTCCTTGCATGGTTTTCTTTGTCTCAATTTTTAAAACAATCTATACATTATTTCATCACCAGCAATTCCTTCACTAAAATAGAACCGGCACTCAAAATAGTATTTTAAGTTTCTTGAAAATCTAGTTGGTATAAATTATGCTAAGTCAATTTAACTGAAAAGTTTTCACAAACTCAACAACAAAAATGATTATTACTTACTATATTGTTGACAATACACTAAAAAAAGAAAACTTATCTTGAAATCAAATGACAGCTTTATAAAATGGTTTAATTTATAAAAATTTGCCAATATGTTGTTTCTTAATCACCTTTGTCAAATAATTTATACATTTCTGAAAAAAATAATTTAATTGTTCTTTTCAAGTTTGACCAAGTAAGAAAAAATTACGCTCTTAATTTTAAGAGATATGTTAAAAACACATATTTCCTCAAAGTAAAAATAGAAGTCTTTCATCATTATACTCAAATTATAATTCTTTTCATTGTATGTTTCAATCTGAAAATCATTACTACAGTAGATTACTGCAGTGGACCACTGATCACTAAATATATTCTTATTAATTCTTATAATGTAATAATGTATAGTAAATCAGGCATACAAATATCTGAACATGTTCTTTTGAGCTATCTGATATCTTGTGGGTTAAAAGTTAAAACTCCTATTTTACTCCAGAGCAACACATCACAAGTTGCATCCTTTTCTTAAAGTTTATATATTGCTTGCAATTATTGTTTTTCATAAATGTTATTGACAGCAAGCAATCCATTACAGTTTTTAAAAGTTAATAATTTATTATTTCATAAAACCTGAATAAATGGATGCATTTTTTGGTACAGGGTCTTGCTATGCACTTTGTACTCATAGTGATCCTTCTATCTCAGCCTCCCAGCACAGGAATTGTAGGCAGGCACCACTGCGGCTCAGGTCTGGGCTGGCACAGCATGTGGTATCAGGGATCGATCTCAGGACCTCACACTTGCCACACAGGCTCTTATGCCACTGAGCTATCTCTCCAGCCAAACAAACAAACAAACAAACAAACAAAAAAAAAATATATATATATATATATTATATGCTGGTAATAGGAGATGAATCTTAGGAGGAAATTAGGTTATAAGAAAGAACCTTCTAGAATGGTGTTCATGCTTTTTTACAAAAACATCAGACATCTGGCTAACGCTCTCCTAGGTGAAGACAAAACATGATGTACTTGCATCCTGGGAAACAGAACTCATCAGAACTTGAATGCATTAACAATTTGATCTCAGATTTCCTGCCTCTAGACCAGCTTACATCACCCACACTTGGGTATTTCGTTGGAGGAGCTTAACTGACTCTAACAGCATCAAAACTTCCAAGCATAGCCTGTTGCCTCCCAGCACCCTAGTAGGGAGGTGTTACTCTCTAGATGTTACAACAAAGAGTGATGTTTTGCATTACCTGGATGTACTTGTGCTCCGCTAGCCCACCGGGAACCTTGACAAGCTTGTTGTTGTCCAAGTGAAGCTCCCTCAGATGAGGGGTATTGGCCAGAGAACCATTGTCCACAGCAGAGATGCTGTTGAAACTCAGTCCCAACCTGCAAGACCCAGCAGAAACAAAGGTCAATAACACACACCACAGCCTTTCTTGCAGATCTCATGTGATCAAGTAAGTGGACAGAAAAGGACATTTCTTGTTTTGCACACACTAGTCCAACTGCAGCCAGGGCTTTCCCCTATATCTCTGTGATTCAGCAAAGCTTCTTAGTTTTGAGGATCTCAACTGCAGACCAACATCTTTGAGATTGTTCTGATTGAAGAGGCCAGGATGAGCAACTGTAGTAAATGCTCCATAGCAACTCATAGTCACCTCTTGCTAAACGTAAGGCTGTGTACTTGTATTGCCCTCCTTTGGATTAGTGTCTCGCACATGGTAAACCCAGTACTGAAATAATATTTGGGGGCTGAGGAGAGAGCTCGGTGGTCTAAGTGCCTGCTTGGGAAGTGCATGGTCCCAAATTCAATCCCTGGTATCTCATGCTATGCTTGACTCGGAACTGGGCATGGTCGTGCATGCCTGTAATCCGAGTGCTGAGGAGGCTGAGATAAGAAGATCACTATGAATCTGAATTGCATAGTAAGATCCGACATCGAAAAAGTTATGTAAATATAATTTACATAAATAGGATTTATATAAAGGTAGAGGGTAATAAAAGGTATGAAGCAGCAAACTAATGACAG